CTCATGCTTACACCATCAATAGGGCGCAATTTCACCCACTAGCACCAACAATGGGGCACTCTTCCTCCCAATGATGGGGCATTTTTCCACTCACTGCCACCAGTGATGGAGCACTATTCTTCCCACTGCCACCAATGATGGAGTACTATTCCTCCTACTGGCACCAATGGCACTCGAAATTTTAGAGTTAGGTCCACAGTATACAGAGGACCCTTGCTGCAGGATGGTGGCTTACGCTTGTATTTGCAAATATGTCCAAACAAAACCCTCTGTTTTTAACAAAAAAACTGTTAGACAGGACCAAATTGGTTGTTTTGCAGACTGGCTAGTATGTGCTCCTTGGAAATCCTTTGTTTGTGATGTGCATTGCCCTTCCACGTGCACCTTACTGCTAAGGCTGGTTATATGTTGGGACGTTTGTCATTTTTTATGCAATTGACTGAATTGGCTGCAGGGACTCACTGAATGCCTTTGCTGTCATTTTGCTATAGCTGGGCATCACATGCGTCCCTGTATCTTTAAGAAGGGATGGGCTTCTCCAAGCACACCTGCCCTTAACCTAACCATTGATATATGTACTTCTACTATGGATGCTCTGGAAATTTTAGAGTACGGTCCACAGTATACAGAGGACCCTTGGCATGGGACTGTAGCTTACGCATGTATTTGCAAATGTGTGCAAATGAAACCCTCTGTTTTTAATGCAAACTGTTAGACAGAGCGGAATTGGTGGTTTAGCAGGCTGGCTGGCAAGTGCTGCGGGGAAATCCTTTGTGATGTGCATTGCCCTTTCATGTGCACCTTCCTGCTAAGACTGGGATGGTTGCCATTTTTTTGTGCAGATGGAATACTATTCCTCCTACTGACACCAGTGATTGGGCACTATTCATCTCAATGACACCAATGATGGGGAACTATTCTTCACGCTGACACAATAAATGGGGCATAATTCCTCCCACTGACACCAAAGATGGGGCATTCTGCCTCTCACTGTCACTAATGATGGGGCACTAGTCTTCATGGTAATAACATAAATGGGGCATAATTCCTCCCGCTGACACCAAAGATGGGGCACTATTCCTCCCACTAACACCAATGATGGAGCATAATTCATCCCAATGATATTATGATGGGCCACAATTCCTCCCAATGACACCAACAATGGGGGCACTATTCCTCCTACCATCACCAATGATAGGGCACTATTCTTCCCACTGACACAAATGATTGGGCTCTATTCCTCACGCTGACACCATCAATGGGGCATAATTCCTCCCATTGATACCAACGATGGGGCACTTTTCCTCCCACTGTCACCATCGATGGGGTACTCTTTCTCCCACTGTCACCAATGATGGATCATAATGCCTCCAACTGACACCAATGATGTGGGCACTATTCTTCCCACTGATACTAGCAATGGGACATTATTCCTCCAACTGATACCAACAATGGGGCACTATTCTTCCCACTAATACTAACAGTAGAACACTATTCCTCCCACTAATACCAAGGATGATAATTTTTTATAATTTATGATAATTATGATAATTTCAGGGCATTATCTACTCCCACTAGAGTCAAACTTTCCTATAATCTGAAGAACAGTAAACTGGTTCTTTTTTTCAAAACATTAGATACCCCAGGTTCAGACTATCTATATCTCATGATACATAAACTGTACATTTATTTTACTCATTTACATAGATTCAAGCCTCTGACATAATCTGTAAATGTATACAAGCAATATTGAATCATAAATCCTCGTCCCCAGGGAGTTTATGCTTTTATGTCCCTGATGCAGTTATACACATATGAAGAAGGGTAAAGTTGCAGTAGATCTGTACGTTCTCAGATCGTAGAAGGAAATCAGAGTAAAACGATGCAATGGAAGGGAGAACATACAAACTTCATGCAGGTTCCTGGCTGAAAACAAGCCCAGGAGCTAAACGTTTCGGTCATGTCAGATTATGCCACTTCTCAGCCAAGATTTAAAGAACAAAACTGAAAATTGAGATACTGTTGTCACCAGCCTGGAGTGAGCTCTCTATATACTGCTAAAAAAGTTTTTTCTTTAGCGTTGCTCATAAAGGATATGCCAGTGCGCCAGTTACCAGTATTGGCACCTCCCGAGCTGCATACATCTGACTTACATATGACTCCTACTTACAAACAGAGGAAGACAACAGGAACTGAGAGGAAATCTACCCCCAGGAAGGTAAATTCACTCCTGTAAGAGTTATCATGGGAAAAAGGTGTTTCCACTGATGCTTTATCACCAATCCTTGCTTCCACCACAAACCAAAATTGTCAAAGTCCAATTGTCACAGGGACAGCAAGTGAGGTGAATTCTTCTGAACAGGGGCGTAGACAGCAAAATAAATAATACAAGATTGTTAACCCTTCCCTATGCTATCCAAAAACATAAAAAATATTTTTTTTGGCTGGAGTCACACTTAAAAAACATACCTGTTCCAACTTACAAACAAATTCAACTTAAGAACAAACCTACAGAAACTATCTTGTTTGTAACCCGGGGACTGCCTGTACTCAGGACTTCTTGGACCTTAGGAGACTTTACACCCTAAAGCTTGTCCTCAAGATGTAACTTTTAGTGTATATAAAAAAGTATCATGGTCAGTACTCAATTCTTATCCTTTAAAGAAAATATGGACTCCTGATATACCTGTATATTAATTGCATTGAAAGGAATACAAAAGTGAATTAAATGGTGTTTTTATATTTGCCTTTAAAAGAGAAGTATGGGATATTTTTTTCACAAGCGATATTTACCTAGGTGGACATAGCATTGATCCGATGCTACAACTGTCCCCTGCCAGTTCTAAGGGTGAGAACTCAGCGATCACATGACCATTGATTGCTGAGTTCTCAGCGCCACTCTGAGCAGAGAGCACCAACTGTCGTTCACCACCAGTCTGCTCTGCCCCCTATGCTCACTGGAGTGCTGGGCTGTGGAGGGGGAGGAAGCGACTGGCTCAGGCTCTCGGTGGCCCGCTGAGAGGCTGAGCCAGATGCCACTCCAGACTCTGGGGTGGATCCTGACTTTCAGCCCACTATCAGCTGAAAACAGGTCACAGGAGTGCAGAACAAACTACACTTAGTTTGTTAAAACTGTAAAGGATAAGCTGTACTTACCCTTTAAGTTTAGCAGTAAGGACAGTTACAAAAGCAATATAAGTAAAATATTGAACTCTAAGTGCACCTGTAAGCTACATAATCTGCGTAACACATATTAATGTTATGCTATAGTTTAACAACTTCCCACTCTGTAGATTAACATTTCCCAGTCATCCCTTTGACAGCTACTAGCTGGCTGTCACTTACAGCTTCAGTCCTACTAATGGCCTGACACCAATCAGAGTGATTCATGATCATGGTATAATTATGGTATAATTATGTACGCAATGAAGCAGTGATCACATGTAAGCTAAAGGCCTAATTCAGTAAAATATGGTTTTAGCTTGCAGTCCTCTGTTTAATACAGTAAATGTAAATTTTAGTACTGCTTACTATATCTATATATATATATATTACCCAGTAGCAGGCCAAGCAAGTTTGTCCTGCTCTGTTATTCATCCAATCATGTGACCACTGTAACAGCCAATCCCAGCGTCACGTAATCCTAATGCCCGCTTCTGCCTCCCAGCATTTAAAAGCTCTTAAAGGGCCAGAGGTGGCGATAGGAAGGGGTTAAAGGGAAGCTAGAGGAGAATGATCCACAAGGCAACCTGGGCAGGAGTCTATGGCCTGGAGGAAGTAACTAGGGGACTGTGTTAAAATTTCCATTCTAACAAAGTAAACCAGGGGATAGCAAAATTGGTCAAAGCTGCGCATCTGCTTATCATTTCACAAAGGATGAAGCACTTGTCAGCAGCTGGTGTCTGATGGGATAGGCCATGCCAGATAAGCAGATCAAGCAACTTCTCTGTAAATATTGCACTCCTTATAAATATGGAGAGGATAATGGGTGGTACTTCTTTACATAGGGCCCCATTCTCCCTTAATCCATCTCCAATGGAAACTATAATGGCTTTCAGTAGATTTTTGTTTCTTTATTTGTTATGTAACATACAAGTTCATATGTGTTCATAAAACTGATGTTTTATGTCTGTTTTTCACAATACTGTACTCACACAATCTTTGTTTTATAAATAAACATTTATTGAACAACAGAGGATTCCTAAAGCAGCACTATGAGTTGGCTAAAGAGACAGCACAGTTGAAGACATAGAGCTGGGTTTATGTGACTGAAATTTCAGAATGAACTGCCTGATAAGGGAGAAGTCACTGCTGATGAGTCATTTAGTTCTGTCTGTAAACTGAAGCTCCTTGAACCACTGAGCTCTGAAAAAAATAGGCTATTCACAAAAAGCTGCTAAAAAAGTCTTTGGAAGGCATGTGAAAATCAGACTAAAGTTATAGGTATTATCTAAAAAATGGCAACCAAAAAAAAACCACAAATCAAAAACTCTATATTTGAGTTATACCTAACAAAAACAGAAAACAAAATGGAAAGATATATACATTTTTTTTAACGTAATAAATTAAAATAATATGTAAAATTTGGCAGCACAGTGGCTAAGTGCTTAGCAGCACTAGGGTCGTCGAGTCAAATCACAACCACAGCACCACCAGCCTGGAGTCTGCATGATCCCCTTGTGCCTGGGTTTCCTCCCACACTCCGAAGACATGCTGGTAGATTAATTAGCTCCTGTCTAAATTGGCCCTAGTATGTGTATGTATGAATGTGAGTTAGGGAACTTAGATTGTAAGGGCTTGAGGGCAGGGACTGATGTGAATGTACAATATATATTTAAAGCATTGTATACATTGATGGTGCTATATAAGCACCTGTAATAAATATAACCATACATTGCCTGTTATTAGACATTTGTACATGTATCTCCCTGTGACAGGTCCCACTTACTATCTTACAGTACCTGGAAGTGCAGGAGAATGGACTTAGGTGATCGCTGCTATTAGCTGGCTGCTGTCTCCTGATGAAGAGGGAATAACTGGGACTGATCATCCGCTTCGCAGCCACATGGCAAGTCACTTCTGTAAGAGATAAGGTGTACAATATATGATAGTGATGTTCATTAAGACCCTAAACAAGTATCTTGTCTATAAAAAGCACTGTTTTAAAATGACCACCATGGCCACTATGCAGGGGCGGACTGACAACTCATGGGGCCCCCAGGCAATAGGGGATCATGGGGCCCCTGTGTTCTTGCCCAAACTCAAAAAAGCCTAGGAAAAAGGTACCAGGGGCATCTCATGGGGCCCCCTACTGACCCCGGGCCCTGGGGCAGTGCCCGAGTTTCCAAATGGTCAGTCCGCCCCTGCCACTATGACATTCTTAGGTAACATCTACAAACACTGGGGAGATATGGATGAGACAGTTTGGGGAATACACATATACCCACTGTTCTAGTACCTCACTGCATCTACCTCTATATCTACAGGCAAACCATTAACACATAAGAGCTTTCTTGTAATCAGATGCCATCAGTCACCTAGTCATTTGATCTATCTGTAATATGATCGTAAGGTGGTTTTCTAAAGACAGCATAAAAGGCTTTAGAAAATAATGTTTGCACCTCAGGCACTGAGAATTGCTATGTCTGCAGTATCAGCATATAAAAAATTCCAACATTTTCAGGATCTTAAACCAAATGGCTGTCACCTTCATCACAAAAATGAATGGGATCTCCATTGTGTCATATTCAGTACTGACCTCACTGCTGAATAATTACTTTGGCATGGGTTCTGAAGCCCATTGTACAAGGCTACAAAAGAGCAGTTTGGTTTACCCAAAGGAATCAGCTTTCCAAATATCTACCCAAAGAACTATTAGGAGTCTAAGGGACCCTTTTAGTACACATGGAGCCAATTACAAAAAGCAGCCAGTGGAAAGGATCTAACCCCTCAATCCAGATTTTATTACCTTTGCTCTTCAGCAGCAATTATTATAGCAGTCATTGGTTTGTAGTAGTTATAAATAGTATGATGATCATTTTTGGTGAGAAATCTGCATAAATGGATTTAGATTATGGTAGAATTAAAAATTTCACAAAAGAAGCTGCTGCAAGATGGGGCAAAAGGAGCCCCACTTTTGACTGCTAGATTCAGTGCTATTGCAGGCTGCGTATTCTTACTATCCTTTAAACTAAAAACTACTAAGCCTGTGTAAATCCATACACACATTACAAGTGTATTAGAAAAGCAGGGGTGTTCTTGAGAGGAGCATTTCAGCAGAAAAAAAACATGCAAATGTGCATAAATGCTAGATGTGTAAAGCATATGAGCGTTATTGCATTTCAATGACCAGAATAAATGAATGCTCTGGCCAGTAGAATGCATTTATGCTCAAATGCTAGCCGCACATAAATGTGAAATTTGTGGAGTTTATTCCTTTTTTTGTGTTGCCTTTTTCTGCCAGAAGTTCTGATGTTCAAAGCGGTTTGTTCAGACACTCCATGTGCATAAGGCCTTAAAGGGTTATGTCTTTCAGACCTCTAGGCAAAAGCAAGCCAGCTTTTGTTAGACACAATAAAAATAAAGTGAACTATTAATTTCCCTATGATTCATTGATGTAATCTGGAAAAGATGACCTATCCTTAAGACTGGTCTGGAAACCACTGTATTCATAAAAAATAGTCGTAGCACATAATGTGATTTGATTCATATTGATGTGTATATAAATGATAAGTCATGCCTTACACTGCACTGTGCACCTGTGACTCACCTGTTGTCATTGATGTCTGTAGCATTGCCTGTGTGTGTAGCATGGCATGGAAAGAAAACTGATTAAACATTGTTTGACACATAACACCTTTAGATTACATTTTCATTTGGGTTATTTAAAAAATCATTTCAACAGACTCCTTCATGGCATATGGCTATGATGTCACATAACAACATGCAATCACATTTGTAAGGGTACCCATACACATAATGATCACCCACTGGCGATCATTTGTCAAGCCAAGAAACAACTACATGTGGGCACCCTGACCTCTTCAGGCTTTCATTTCATGATATTGTATTGCAATTGTATTGTATTATTTTTTTTTGCAATCCTTAAATAATAAAATGCAACAAAACTAAACAAAATGCACCTTTTCTTTTTTTATATATCAGTGTTAGTTTAAAAATATTGTTGCTGCACATAAAATGTGTGTGCATTTAATTCTGTAATTTGTCCTATTTAAAATGACACTAAAATTATGATTCTGGTACACAGCATTGCAAAATTATTTACATATGAAATATACTATATATATATATATTTTTTTTTTTGCAACATTGCACTTTTTTAAATAGGAAATGTGTAAATATGTTAAATTTGTAAAAGTATTACTATTATTAAGTTTATTATGTTAAATGTGTAATAATAGATAATAAAATAGAAACAGGCATAAAAAATCAGCAGGAAAATAATAGATGAAGAGAGCAGGAGACAAAGGAATTAATTAGATCTAATTAGAGTAATAAGGGGTTAAACAGGAACATTTTATTTAATTTTTTTTTGTCAGGTTGCTTTCACCGTCATCGTTTGCAGATCTACATTCATCCCTTTCATCTGCAGATGAATAAACAGAATGATACAAAAGTAACAATATGTTACTTTGTATCTTCATATAGGTGTCCGTTTATGAACCAGCGGTAATAGATCGCTGCTCAGTTCTCCGGCATTCTTGGAGAACACAGTTCTCCTGTGAATGCAGTTTATGAAGCAGTTTCTCCGAACGAAGGGAGAACGGTCTCCAATTGCTGGAGAACGGTCTACAAACTCTGGAAAACGGCTGATTTTACTATAATCTCACGAGATTACAGTAAAAGATCAGTTTACTAAACAGAGGTAAATTATCTGTGCTTAGTTTGCGGTCCCTCTGATTCTCCAGCTCTGGGCTGGAGAATCTGGAGGGAGAGCTCAGATCTCCAGCGAAGGGCTGACATGATCTCCTGAGTGTCATAAACTGTGAATGACCAGAGAATAGCTGAGATCCATTGAATCGCAGCTATTCTCTGTGTCATAAACGGACACCATAATCACATCTGGAGCAGTGTTTTTCATAAACACTGATTCAGACTGTTTTTTTAACAGCTACAGCTCCTGAAACTTTCTTAGAGTATACAGCAATGCCGGATTTGACTAAGCAAAGCTGACAATTACTGTATACTGGGAGGGGGATCCCAGGTGCAGGGAAGGGAGACTGGACATGCCACACAAGTCTTGTGTACAATGATAGCATTTTCTTTCTTGGGCGTGTGTAGTGCACCCAAAGTCTCCATCTAGTTAATCAGTAAATATTTCCAATAAATGCTGGCACTTATTGCACCAAGCTCTCACAAAGTAATACTTTACACAGAAATAAGGCAATGGCATAGACACTTTGTCCATAATCCACTACCTTACAGCAATTTCTCCAAAAATCAAATTGGTGCAAGAACTGGAAGATAATAAAGACCGGGATTATTTCAGTTTAGTTTACTTTAGGTTATCCGGGATCATCCCCAAATTTTTCTTCTTTGCCCATAAAATCACTGGCATAATCACTTGCCTTTTGTTATCCAGTTTGCATCGTGTGACGTTGATACATTTTGTCCTTTCTCAGAAATAAGTCAGGATGTTTTTGCTACATATAGTTTTTCAGTAAAATCTTCTCTAAAGACTAGAAGAGAGTAACTCTTAAGTGGTACTACATGTCACTTTTTGTTGTTCTTTAACCACTTGCCACCCACCCACCCGCAATGTACTGTGGGCAGCAGCTACAGGCAAAGCGACGTACAGGGTGTCGCTCTGGCTGTACCAACACAGGGGGGCGCTGCAGCGCAGTGCTCCCCACCCGTGACCACTGGACACAGTGGAATGAAGATCCCAGTGAATGGGACCCGGAGATCATGTGATCACTATGCCATCACATGATCACAATGTTAGTAAAGCTGTTATGAATCAATCTGATTCATAACAGCTCTGCTTCTCTTTCTGGTGAGCTGTGATTAGCTCAGAGCTCCCACAAGGTACATGGGGCCAATTACAGCACCTTGTACCATGTGACCAGCTCTAGGCAATCACAGATCACTGTTATTTTGAACTGTCATGAACCTAACCCATTCATGACAGTTCAAAGCAAGCTTTGCATTGCAGGAGCAATAATCTTTGAACGTGGTAAGTGGCATGGTTGTTGGTGCCAGACGGGCTGGTCTGAGTATTTCAAAAACTGCTGATCTACTGGGATTTTCATGCACAACAATCTCTAGGATTTACAGAGAATGGTCCGAAAAAGAGAAAATATCCATTGAGTGTCAGTTGTGTAGAGGAAAATGCCCTGTTGATCAGGTCAAAGGAGAACGGACAGACTGGTTGCTTAGATGTTCAGATGGTAGGGTCAGAATTTGGCATAAACAACGTGAAAGCATGGATCCATCCTGCCTTGTATCAGTGTTCAGGCTGGAGGTGGTGTAATGGTGTGGGGAATATTTTCTTGGCACTAGCAAGGTGTACCTAATAAAGTGGATAGTGAGTGTATATGCTTTATTGAAAAAGTCATCTGCTCTAGCAGGCTTGGTTGTGCAGTCCCTATTTCTACTTAGTTCTTGTTCCAGGTAAGTGATGTACAAATGTTTGAAGCTTGAGTATCATCATAAGAGTCAGGACACCCAAAGAGTGGCTCAGTCTTGGCAGCCAACATTTTTCTCCCCTGATAGATTTCCTAGTCTAGTTGAGTGACATACTTGCAAAGAATCATTACATTTTCTGTACATTGGTACATAAGTAATAAATATATGCTGCACCTTTTTATAGCAAGTGCACTCCACGGCCCCCTTTATACTAAGCCATTGTATTGTATCATCAGACATATGGCAGCACAGTGGCTAAATGGTTAGCACTTCTGCCTGGCAGTACTAGGGTCATTGGTTCGAATCCCAGCCACGGCACCTCCTGCCTGGAGTTTGCATATTCTCCCTCCCTGTGCCTGTGTGGGTTTACTCCAGGTACTCTGGTTTCCTCCCACACTCCAAAGACATGCTGGTAGGTTAATTGGATCCTGTATAAATTGGCCCTAGTATATGTATGTATGAATGTGAGTTAGGGACCTTAGATTGTACACCCCTTGAGGGTTAGGGACTGATGTGAATGTACAATATATATGTAAATTGTGTGTAAATTGACGGCGCTATATAAGTACCTGAAATAAATAATAATGTTAAAAGGTCAGTCCATTCATTTAGAATGGGCTGCATATGTAAGGTAATGGGAAAACAGATTTGAACATTTCCAGCATGTGTAGTATCTTGAGTCAGCTGGAGTTACCAATACTAAATTAATTTGGTTTTTAGTTAAACTCCTTACCATTATCCACATTCAGCTTTGTGTAGGGAAGCAGGCTGCTAGAGGAAGAATTGCTCCTTGCAGAGGAACAAGGGTTGGTGAAACTAAAAGAAGAAAAAAATCAAAGAAGTCAGTGAATATATTGTAGGAGACTTATTTTGTAGTTTTTGACACAAGGCTTTCAGTAGAGGAAACAAGGTAACAATAAATTGAACACTAATTTTTATGTTAACCCTATATATTAAACCCAAAGTCTAGGTTCACACATATGCATTTTCCATTGCGTTTTGCAGAAACGCACAGCAGTTCATTTAACAAGATTTCCTATGGGACAGGTTCACCGTTCGCATTTTCACCCGGTGCATTTTTTGGAAAGGGTCAGGGACTTTTTTAAATGCAAAACATTGCATTTTTGGCTCAATAGACTTCAATGGAGACGCTGCAGTAAAGCATGTAGTGCGTTTTTGATGCATTTTGCATTTTAATCTGCCCAGCAACAAGTTGGGGAAAAAAACTCACTTGACTTGACCTATCATTTACAGCGGTATTAAAGCCCAAAACAAAAATTGATTATATTGCAGCTTACCAATTTTTATATGTGGTGGCTGCATTAGTTTTCTTTTTTAGGCTTTTCCCCTTTTTTTTCACTTGTGATCCAGCCAGTAAATCTGTTATTTTTTAACTTCCTTTAACCTTCCTAGCAGTAATGCCAAGTGGAGCTCGGGTTTAAATTTCAGTACCAAAACCGGTAACCCCAAGCCACACACGGGATTACACAGCAGTGTAATTTATTCTGTCCTGCAATCCCCCGATGTCCTCCCGCTGTGTCCTCCAGCCATGTCCTTCGGCCGATGCCGGCATCCGTCTTCCGGGTTCCCTTTCCTGCGAGCGTTGCGACGTAGGGGGGTGGAACTGGCAGGAGATTCAAAAAAGTAACACCATGACATACACTCAATACATTGTAATCTGTTAGGATTACATTACTGTATCAAACCATTTCACCTAAATTTTGTCCCTAGTGCTTTGTCCTGTGCCCTGCTTGCACTTTTACCGTTCTTTCTGCCTGGAAACTTGAGAACGTCCATGGCATCCAAAAAGCGTCCCTTTAGGTCAAAAACGGTTTTAGATCAAATAGAAAACAGGGATAGTGAATTAGAATCACTTGCAGAATTGAGTGATAATGATTTGTGAGGAAATTTGTCATCAGACACTGAAAGTGACGACAGTGACGATTCTGCAACTGAGCTCAGTGATGTGCAAACTTGGTGCTCTATTTCAAATTTCAGTGCAGGGGCGGACTGACAACTCATGGGGCCCCCCCAGGAAATAGGGGATCATGGGGCCCCTGTGTCCTTGCCCAAACTCAAAAAAGCCTATGAAAAAGGTACCAGGGACATCTCATGGGGCCCCCTACTGACCCCAGGCCCTCGGGCAGTGCCCGAGTTTCCAAATGGTCAGTCTGCCCCTGTTTCGGTGTTTTTGGTTTGATTACATTATTGAATTCAATTTATTATTATTATATTTTAGAAGTATTTATTATATTATAATTTATGATTTCGTGTTTCAAACTTTATCATACCAAGGATGTTTACTAGACTTTTATTTGAACAGATTTAAGTGAGTTTTTCCTAAGAATTACAGACCTACAATATAAAAACAACAAATTTCCATGCAAAACAATGTACCGCTTTGACATTCAAAAATATTGACATAATCAGACCGCCAGTGAGGTTAATAGACCAAGCTGTCCAGCAAGTGGCAGTTAGAGGGTTGAGACAAATCATTTAACACTGACAGGGGTGCTTACAATCAATATTTTATTCATTAATGTAAAAGCTTTATCCCAAAAGGAATCAAAACTGTTGCTGTAACTACTTATAAAGTATTAGATGGAGCTCAACTTAAATTTCTTAGTCAAATCCGCCTAATTTGCTTGTCTAACATTACTCTCCACCCAGACTAACAATGCTGCTGCCCAAAGGTGTCTGCTTTACCCCTTCATCCAGAATGCATACATCCTAAGACAGGAAGTGTGTTACTGGCTGGATCACCAGGTGAAATAAAAGGGGAAAAAAGAAAATGAATGCAGCCACCACATCTATAGACTGGTAAGCTGCAGTATATTACATTTTTGTTGGATTTAATGACACTTTAAGGCTTGTGACGGTGGGTAATTGTGCACACCAAATGCATTCCCATACAAGTTAATGAGGGTTTGAAACCTGTTTGAAGCATGTCAACTACAGGTCAAATGCACCTGTGAATTCATTCTGAATGATCTCTGAAGTAGCTCAAACTTTTTCCAGACAAAAACCCTCAATCTACTGACATGTCTTTGTCATTAAAATACTCTCTTAACCTTTACCAGTAATCTGAGCCCAATAATCACTGACCCTAAATTAACCCCTAATGGATCATGAATATCTTAATGGGCACGTGAAGTACCAGCTCCAAAAAAAAAAACACTATAGCAAAGAGATTACATAGTGCTGAAATCCTGGCACTGAAATCCACTGATTTGTCCTTTTTGTAGATTTCAATATTATTAAAGTGAATTTTTTTTTAATAATTTATTGAAGCCAGTATGCTCTTTGCAATTACATTTGTTTCTAGAAAATGGGAAAAAAAAATATCTTTTAAGTGGGATGTATTTTGTAATTTAAAGGAAACCTGTGTTGAAAAACATACATAACCTATTATTGCTGATTTCCTTTCAGAATTACCAGCTGCCATCATGCTAATCCACTAACTTCGATAAAATACTCAAAATAAGGATGCAATAAATGGAGTCAGAACCCCTGAACTGCATCAGTGAAGCCAGAAAGTTAGTGTGATAGCCAGGCATCTAGCATTTTCAGTAGAAAGTCAGACTTCATAGTTTTCTTAGCACAAGTTTTAACATTTACTTTAGCAGTGGCAAAAATGTTTGAATGTGTAGAAAGACATATAACACTGTAAGGATAGATCCAAAGTACACTGCAGCTTTTCCCTTAAATCCCTAATGTGAGAAAGATTTTTCCATAGTGGCAGTTTAGTAAGCACTACCATCAAAAATCATGGGGTTTATCTAGAAGAAAATCTGCACACATCAATAAATGCATGCTTCAACAGAAAGAGCCTGTCAGTAATTTTGATTATCAAAACAAAATACACATTCCCTTTTTTACCATGATACCTTACATCTGCAACAGAAGCAGAAGATACCTAAACTGACAGTTATTTTTAGATATTGTTGTAAAATTTACAGTAAGTAAAGTGTTATAAAATTATATCCTTTTTTCTGAAAAATACATATTTAAAATTTATAGGTGATGGAATAAGGACACATTGTATTAAATTCCACTAATACTTACAATGTGTCATTGGAGGAATTGGATGAATTCATGTACATGTTTTGGTATTGCTGGAAGATGTTGTTGGTGTAACTAAGAGAATCTGAACTGCGAACTCCATAGGAATTGGTTGGGGAAGATGCAGGGTAATGTCCAGGTCTGATTGGCTTGGCTAAAGAAGAAAAAAAAAAATGTAAATGAATGAATTAAGGCATACGAGTTATATTGGATGTTTTTATTTTATATTATTTACATTTCCCCTGTAAAATGACAACTGATGTATATAGTGGATGTGGTCATCAATACTCACTGACATTCTGATGTTCAGTAGATGTTCCTTGGGGCTACATGTTTTATTTTAGGTGCATCCAGCGGTAAGCAAAGTATAAATAGATACTGACACCACTTTTACCAGGCAAAATCTGTCTTTATAGCAAACACATTTCTATAATGTGTCTGGAAGCACTTCACATGGAAGTAGAAGACAGGAAAACTAACAAGCCTTGTATATGAGATGTATGTTAGACATGGTTTCTCTATAATCTTTTCACTCTTATTTTTTTATAACATGTTTTGTATTCAGAAAGAGGGGTATATAATATTTAGAATTACTGTGAAAACAATATTTATAAGCAGATTGTCAGAAAGACACTGATTATGCTGCAACAGATTAAGAAAATGCACAATACTGCCTTGTCTTTTCTTCTATTTCTTTTAAAGTGTTACTAAACCCACTACCCTGCATTCACTAAATCCAGTCTTCCACGGTACATACAGCATGGAAATGCAATTATTTCAGTAAATATAAACTGCTAAATACAATAGTGATATGTGCAGGGGTGTATTTACCACAAGGCAAACAAGGCATTTGCTTAGGGAGGTATTTTTCAGGGGGGGCAGCACTGCCCCTTGGAAGAGGAGATGGAAAAAGGGACACACGCGGCATGGGTGGGTTCCGAGAGATGCTGCGGGTTTCATGATTGTGTATGCACAGCCCAACTCTCGTTCCTGGGGATATCCGGAGCTGTGAAGGTGAGTGTCTTTCTCTCTCTCACCATGGGGGATGGTGTGGGGGGCAGTGGTAGGGGAAGGCTCGGGTGGAGGGAAGGGGTGTTCTTGGTCAATGTCAGGCTCTTTCTGTGGGGGGGGGGCGCCATTCTTGTGTTGCCTAGGGCAGCACAAAACCTAAATACACCACTGGTGATGGGCTGTATATTTGAGTCGAATGTTAGTTCGATTCCAACATTGGCTGTTCGTGTGTTCAGCAAACACAGGAATGGTAAGGGCATTCAGCGGGCTACTTGTCTGCCGCACCACACAGTACCCTGACAGTGCATTATGATTGGCCAAAGCAATGCACCTGACCACAGGTCAAGTGCAATGCTTTGGCCAATCACAGCGCAAAATGATGTCACAAGGGGAAGAGGCATCCCCAACCCCTTGTGACATCATCACAGTATTTAAGAACTGTCATCTCAGCACAGCTATCAGACGGCAGGAGCCAGCAGGAGCAGTTTTTTTTTTTGTTTCTTTTTTCCCGTCGTCGGTGGTGGCGGTGGGCATCATGCCTGGCGTTGGATTTACTTTGGGGGACATATTTTTAATTTTTGTTTTCAATAAAGGACTTGTCAAAGACTGTCTACTGTCATTTTTTTGTCTTTTTTGGTGTATGAGTAGCGTGGGGGAGCAGGATCTGGGGGTGCTTGCTTAGATAAGGATCTGGTATGGATTTTGGGGGGACCCCATGCCATTTTTAAAAAATGTTGGCGTGGGGGTTCCCCTCAAAATCTATTCCAGACCCAAAGGGCTTGGTATGGATGGGGGTGTGGGACCACATGTGGGTTTTTAAATTTTTTTTTTAATTGCTGGGCAATGCTGGCAATTCTTGTTACATTCAGCTGTCAGCGGGAAAATCCGCTGATAGCTGAAACAATAAAGAATGTTTTTAGTTAACTGTGCTGTATCTTACTGCATACTCAGCTGTCGTAATATACCGCTAAGTGAATTGTCCCCTTTGTTCGAAGTTCTTCGTCAAACTTTTCTTATGTTATTGTCCTATGAGGCTGCATGACCCCTGACCCGTTGTCTGGACAGCACTGATTGGCCCTATGCTGATCACATGCACCCACCGAAAACAAAACTCTCTAGCAATACACACCAAACAGAGCATGTGCAGAATTGCCACTACTGCTCTGTACTATGGCAGATGGATTGGGGACTGTCGAAGAAGGGGAGAATCAGAGAAGACAGGATCAAACAGCCTTTTTACACAATGCAGAGGGTTAACCTTTTAGTTTACACAGTGAATATAACAAGCATGCTTTACAGCATATACAAACTGATTTTACTGTTGTGGGTTTATTAACACCTTAACACTGCAAAGTGTGAATTAAGAGTGTACTTCCCAATTAAACTAGCATACTCAATTATAGTGTTCTACTGTACTTAATCAGTTTTTTTTCTTTATCTGGATCTACTGTGGGCACTGTTTATGGAGGTTTTCTATTTATTCTTTTTATTGGTTGAACTTAAAGATCTTTTGGTAGGTATCAAAATGAATGGAAAGTGCACTGGGCAGAATCAGTGGTGTATTTAGTTCTTGTGCTGCCCCAGGCAACAGAGAACCCCCACCACTATCCTGTAATGCCACCCCTAGGGAACAGCAACAAGTCCTTCCCCCTCACCGCCTCCAATACCACTGCAACCATAACCCCCCCCCCCCCCCCCCCTCCGGCAGCCACCTCCCGATTCACTAACCTTATCTCTCCAGAATTACGAAAAGCAGCCGTCCATCCCCCGCACTCTCCAGCAGAGTGCACCTTCCTCAGATCCTCACAGTGCCTCACCAGGTCCCTTCTTCCAGGGGGTGGCACCGCCCCCCCTGAAAATTGCCACCCAAGGCAAACACCTTGTTTTCTCTGCAGTATATATGCTGCTGGGCATGCTATTCCCAACACATAACTAAGATAAGGTATTTGTATAGATTTGCTTTTTTTGTTTTAAATTAAAATAACAAATGTGTCATACTTACCTGCTTTGTGTAATGGTTATGCACAGAGCAGTTCCAATCCTCCTCTTCTTCTTCTGGCACTCATAACTCCCCCCCCCCCCCCCCCCACACACACACACTGAGTGCCCACATAGCAAATAGATTGTTATGGTGGCACTCTTGCATGCTTGCTCCCAAGCTGACTCTGTGTGTCAATAAGACACACAGAGCACAGCTTGGCTCTTCCCCCCACACCCTCCTCACTGGCTTTGATTAACAGCAGCAGGTGCCAACAGATCCTGTGGCTGTGTCTGAGCCAATGAGGATGGAGTGAGCCAGGAGAGCTGCTGCTCTCATGCATATCATTGGATCGAGATCGGGCTCAGGTAAGTATTAGGGGGGCGCTGCATACTGAATGTTTTTTATCTTAAGCATTCTCTGCATGACCCTTTAGAACCACTTTAACAGCTGCTGAATAAAGCAGAGGGATATGCTGTTGTAATGACCATGCTGGGTGGATGGAGCTAAAACTCACATGTATATATCTTGCCAAAGAAGTTTCCAATAAACTTTACATTTTAACATAAATAAACTTACCCTATAAACAATTAAGTTAAAGTGTTACTAAACAGCAAAATCAATCTGTATATGCAGTTAAGCATGCTTGTTATACTCACTGTGGAACCTAAGGGGTTAATCCTCTGCATTGTGTAAAAAGGATGTTTGATCCTGACTTCTATGATCCTCCCCTTCTTCCACTGTCCCCAATCCATTTGCTGATAAAATAGAGCCTTGGGGGCAAGCTACATATACTGTACTCATTTTGGTATGTATTTCTAGAGTTTTTTTTATTCTTGGGAAAGTGCATGTGATCATCACAGGGCCAATCAGTGCTGTCCGGACAGAGGGTCAGGGGTTATGCAGCCTCATAGGACAATTGGAGTAGAAAGAAAACTCCTCCTACAAGCTTTAACATACTCTGCTGGACACTGATAGAAGTCACAAGACTGTTATATACTGCTGATGAGAAAAACTATTTAGCAATTTATATTTACTAAAATAATTGCATTTTCATGTCCTGTGTACTGTGGGAGACCAGTTATAGTGAATGCAGGGTCCTGGGTTTAGTAACACTTTAAATTACCGTATTTGCCGGCGTATAAGACGACTGAAAGACGACCCCCCTACTTTTCCTGCTAAAATGTAGTGTTTGGGCTATACTCGCCGTATAAGACTTTCTTCCAATGCACACCAGTGGGAGGAATAGTGCCCCATCATTGATGTCAGTGGGAGGAATAGTGCCCCATCATTGGTATCAGTGGGAGGAATAGTGCCCCATCATTGGTATCAGTGGGGGAATAGGTACCCATCATTGGTATCAGTGGCGAATAGTGCCCCATCATTGGTATCAGTGGGGGGAATAGGTGCCCCATCATTGGTATCAGTGGCAGGAATAGTGCCCCATCATTGGTGTCAGTGGGAGGAATGGTGTCCCATCATTGTGTCAGTGAGGGGTGGAATAGTGCCCCATCATTGGTGTCAGTGGGGGGAGGAATAGTGCCCCAAGTGGGGGGGGGAATAGTGCATCGTTGGTCAGTGGGGGGGAGGAATAGTGCCCCATCGGGTGTCAGTGGGAGGAATAATCGTTGGTATCTTAGTAATTGGTATTGACACCAATGATGGGGCACTATTCCTCCCACTGAGACTTGCTGACCCTGTTCTCGTATGGTGCTGCTGCAGCCAGCATATGTGGTTGCAGCAGCACCTCTACACAGAGCACTTACCTGCTGCTCCGGCACTCAATTTTCGCGGGGGCCGCTCGGCTCCGCCCCCTCGCCGGTGATTGGCCGCCTGTGTGCCTTTCCTGAGCTACAGTTCTGGCGGCCAATCACCGGTGAGGAGGCGGAGCCGCGCAGCCGCACGAACATCCAGTGGCCGAACTGAAGGAGACGCCGCGCTTCCTGGACCGGATCGTCGTGGGACTGGATCCAGGTAAGAGACGTCAGCCCCTGCAAACCCCTGTACTTAATGCCGCAGCCCCCCTAACATGTGTACCGGCGTATAAGACGACCCCCGACTTTTGAGAAGATTTTCAAGGGTCAAAAAGTCGTCTTATACGCCGGCAAATACGGTAAAAAGACATTGCCACCTTTGCCCATGCGGGGCAAATGTTTTTACAAATGGGCCAACTAATACTCAACCTGTCAGTGTTCCCCTGTTGCTCCTTCCTAAATTGCAGCCAGCAGTAAAATCCACAGTGTTGGCAGGTGTCGGAAGCTAGTAGGAAGGGTGACATCATTCCCTCTGTTATGTTATAGTGCTCAGGTCTAGTGGTTGGCTGCTATACCCCAGCACTATAACAAGGGATCATTTCATATGCTCAACCACAGCAAGAAGAATAATGTTTTGCAGCCAGTTGTGATGGAGGAAGAAGTGATGGGGGAGGTAAGTTGCGGTAGGTTGGGTGGGCCCCTTTACAAAGACTTTATCGCTTTGCCTTTATTGGGTCAAGTGGCAGTATTAATTTATACTCATATTCTGGCACAATGTAGTTTCTATACTTTATTACAATATTTCCTTTAAAACCTAGGAAAGTGAAATCACAACAAAAATAACATAAAAACAAAAAACAATCTGCAAAAAAAAGAATACAGGCAAACAAGTGGATTGAGCAAGATTTGTCATTTGCATTCTAAACTCAGCATACATTAAGATATTGTTAGTCAATAGTAGTTCACTACAGGAAAGCAGAAGGGCAACTGCCTGCAGGCAAATTAGGACAGGGGCCCCTGCTAGACTGCTACTTTATATACTTGTGTGCACTAGGTTACATTTTTATTGACCAGCTCAATTTACTTTCTCTTTTGATTTTGCTCCTTCTCATTTGCTGCTACAAAATTTCATTAGAGCTGCACTCCAGATTTATATCTGAATACAAAGATGTAATACAAACTGTATATTAAAGCTGTTTTACCTGCCAAAAGGATTTGAATTTTTGTCCATCCAATTGTGAGATTTACGCAGCTCCACAATATAGCCATTTCCAGCAGGACAGGTGACCTCATTTTTCTCTGCAGTTAAAGTAGAATTCCACCCAAAACCTACTCCTAGCCTCAATCTAAGCCTAATCTATCTAACCCTGTAAAGAAAAGACTGATATACTTACCTATTTTGAAGCCGCTCTGGTCTGGTCTCCAGTGTAGAGAGAGAAAGCTGACAACGGCTGGAAAATGAAGAGGAGATGACATCACCCATAGACTTACTGTGTGGCATCCATTGTTGGTTGCTTCTGCTCTACGCTGACAGCTCATCTTGGGTTCGGACCAAGCGGTTTCAGAATATACTGTAAGTATAGCGATCTTTTCTTTACAGAGTTAGATGGATTAGGCTTAAAATGGGCATGGGAGCAGGTTTAGCATTGGTTAGGTTTTGAGTAGAATTCCACTTTACGTAAAACTTACAGGTCCTCCCTCCTGAGCTGAACATTGAAGGAGAAAAAGCAGAGTGAGTTCATCAGTCTTATCTCACCACCTATCAGTAAATCCCATGTTATCACATAAACAATGCAGCAGGCCTGATTGGCTGCTTGTGCTGCTTCTCCTTCTCCCTTAAGCCTTGTTGTACTGTGGATTACAAAAGGCTGATGTCAAGTCAAATTAGGTTACTTACACTGCTTGTCCAAAAAACAATACATTTAATGATTTATTTATGATTATAGAGCTATCGGTAGGTAATATTATGGAACTATCCTTGATGCAAACACTTTTGCCACAGACCACACATTTCCCTTACCAATCTGTGCAGTGTGAGTGCGCCTCACTGTATTCTTGTAGCGTACAGCTTCCTTAATGCGGTCCACCTCCTGTTGGTACCTTCTTTTATCCTTCATAGCGCCCTCCTTGGCCTCTTTCAGTGCACCCTCCAGGGCCTTAACTCTCTCAGCCGTAGCCCGAAGACGTTTTTCCAGTTTAGGAAGCTCACAACGAAGATCTGCATTGTCACGAACCAGCTGGATGACACCATAAAAGAAAAATGCATAAATGAGCTAGGCACAGAAAGTTGACGAACCATGACCAGAAAGCTTGAAAAAATATTTGATGAGCCAAGAAAATATTTTTTCACCTTCAAATTTCTTAACATTAAGGTGATTTAGTTTTACATGCAAACTGCAGACAATTTAATGGAATTTGGCTCACAAAAAAGTTTTTTTCATTCATGGTGTTTTAAGGAAATTGTCTGCTATGATTTAAGAACTATAGATCAGAGTGACCTATTTTAGCTTCTGCCCTAACATCTGTCACCCTCTTCAGCCTACAGCACATATGAATGCTTTATTTTAGGAAACATTTGTTCATAAAACAAAATAGTGTTTATGAAATACTCAATGAGAACCTGTGTGCATATTACGGTACTTTACTGAAATCATCAAAATGGTGATAAACTGCTTCAAAGATGAAGACCTTGGACCTGAGGCAATTCCAAGTCCAATGCTGCCAGCAAAAACTTTACTTTTCCATCTTTTTACCGCCAACTTTGCATAAGTGTCATATAAAACCGGTTGCCAGAAGCACCTAAAGACATTATATTTAAAGCATCATAAACTAATGTCATTAATATAAGCACAGTTCATTTATTTGCAACAATATCAATGGTTAAGTAAAATAAATATGTGATATATAAGTGATATTTCTTTGAACTCAATGTAATGTGTAACACATTTCTAAACCTTAAAAAAAGAAATTACAACAATAAGGAAATATAAATCAAATTAAAAACATTGTAAAAAATAATATTTTGTTTTGAAATTCATGGTTTCCCATTCTTACGCACATGGAGGTTAGCTTAGGTTACAATTTTTGAGATGTGTGCTTAACTTTAGCATATGTGTGTACTCCTAAACCCAAACTCAAGACTAATCCCAAGCCAGAAATAGACATGAACAGGTTGTGTTTTATTTCAAATTAATTTTCCCCTTGCCTAACTTCTCTGGAGAAGTACAAGGGCCATCTCTGGCTTCAGTACTTTCTGAGTTACTGACCTGGAATAAGCATGCAGGCTGGAACTCTTGAGTCGGAACTGGCAATCTTCTTACTTGTTCCAGATCAGTGACTTTGAAAGTACTGAAGCCATTGGAACAGCATGACAAGCATTTAGTGTTTTGAAGGAAACGTATGCCAAAAGAAATATGGACTTTGCCATTTCTGACTTCCTTCTGAAAATGCCAATTGCCTAGCAGTCATGTCTGATCCCCTGACTTCAGGACTTTCACTGACTGACCTGTCACTTACCTTGAACATTCATTTACATGGTAAAATCAGAGCAAATACAGAACTCCTTTTTGTATATTTGATCCAGGTCAGTGAAGCAGTGTGTATTAAAGCAATTAGATCGACATGACAGACAGGTATCTAGCATTTTCAGAAGGAATGGTATGCAGTGGCAGCCCCTACATTCATTCGCATAGGTGTGCCTTAAAGCTATTTTGGCTATGCTTCTCCTATGTGACCCATTTTCAGCCAACAGTGGGCTAAAGCCCACTATCGGCTTACATCACTCGTCCGGACCAGGCTCAAGAGAGATCCCGACTACTGACTGTAAAATCCAGATTCACCCAGATGTCTGAACCGGAAGCTGGTTCAGCCTCTCAATGCACCACCGTGAGCTTAAGCCAGCTGCTCCTGTCCCCTCCACAGCCTTCCACAGTGAGCACTGGAGGGGCAGAGCAAAGAGCCAGTGACTGACAGCAGGCTGAAAACTGAGAACTGAGCAATCAGAGATGATTGATTGCTACGTTCTCAGTCTTAGAGGCAGTGGGGACAGCTGCAGCTTGGATTGATGCTGCAGCCATCTAGGTGAGTAGAATTTTTTTTTTTTTAAGCCATACTTCTCTTTTAAATCTGCACCAAACTCTTATGATTGCCAGTTAATTGACAACTTCACAGTAAAAGTAAAAATGATCCATCCTCTCTTCAGCCTTGCTGTTTATGTGAAAGATTCAATTCAAAGGGAAACCCTGGGGGATGATTTACTAAAGTAGAGGCTATTCATTTACCAAAGTGAATGCTGGGAAATGAGATGAACCCGTGTTTACTCTTAATACTCTATTGCGTGCAAAGGGACATTTTTAAATTAGGATTTTTTAACATATGATTAGGTTTTCAAAGTAAACCCCTTTATGTACTAATCTTCATTTTTATTACTAAGTGAGCAATGGCCGCCATACAGGCTCAAATTACAGCTGATTCCTGCTGCATCTGTGAAATGTGAGCCATGGGTGCTCCTGTCAACGCCACCCAGCTCCATATAAGTCCATTAGTTAATCAACTTTTGTCAAAGGAGCCGGGTTCACAATTGTTGGCCGAACGGCATTTACATTAACTAGCTGCAGTCACTGTTCAGTATGTTCAGGTGACACAAATAGAGGATGGGGACACTGCAAACTGCAGCCACATGGTCAGAAGACTTCCTTACAAAATTAGATCAGCTTTAATTTCTACGATTACCTACTCATGGTCCCCCTTTCCATTTTCAGGGAATACTGTGTAGGGACTGTCCTTTCAACCTTTAAACTGCTGGGTTGTATGAGATGGAAAAAATGTTATCACAGATTAACGTATACACTATTCTAGTATAGCAACCAGAACTGAATTACCATTACACACAACTTCTGATGCCCAAAGCCACTCCCTTCTGCTAGGATTATCATTTTACCCACAACATTTTCTTGTTTTACTGGTCCTAACCTGGTTTAGTATATTGTGGCAGTTGGGTTAATTTACTAAAGGAGTACAGCATGATCCCTTACAAAGAGTTTTACACTTTTCGTACAGAATAAGGTAAAAAATTAACTTTGTAATGAATATCTGATCAGGATATTTGCTTGCACATGATTAGATGATTGAAGCCAGCACAACTTCATCTCTACCACCAAGGACAAACGAATATTCATCTCTTCTAACAAATAAGGGTCATTGTCAGGGCTGTGTTGCCAATAATGCCACTTGAGGAGGCTGACTGAGGCAGCATTCATGAAGACACAGTAGGTTTTATTTTCTAAAGCTGGTTCACTCAGAATCTCATCCACTTATGCATAAAAAGCAATCAGTTTACAGGTTTTATTGCTAAAGCTTAAATGAACAAGCTGAGGTTAGAAGCTGATTGGCTACCAAGCACAGGTGCACCAGACTGTGAGTGGACCAGCTTTAGTAAATCCCCTCCAGTGGGTACAGCACCAAGGCCAAAGTGTACATACCAGACACTCCATCCTCAGTGCAGATCAGTAACTTCGAGGTGGCAAAAATGACCACTTCGGGCAGCATCTGCCACTGGCATGGCCCTAATTATTGTGTAAATTGGGTTCTATGAGCTGACTGTACTATTGAACTTTGTTGTGGAAAATAATTGCAGCCTCACTGCTGTACCACCTAGGCCTGTGCCTATTTATAAGTCAAGCCGTGATTACAGTGTACAAATTATATGGGATATGTGCTTTAAACACATGCATTTATTATAGAAGTGTTCTTATTACATGCAAGCACTGCAAAGGCTAAATGCAAACAATGAATAATACTGGTGTATTTTATGATCCCCAGTCAGTGAATGAACAGCAATGTGATAACAGAAGCTAAGCATACCAATTCATGCCGGCCAAAAAACACTGCAAAGACTAACAGTACTATGAATGAGAGTAGTACCACCAATGAAAGTATAAGGAAATGCCTTCAGTTACATAATAGAATTTATTGGCTCTGTGGTTTGAAGAGATGGCTATTTTACTATAGAATAGTGTGGTCCAAGTGATAGGGGTCTCGGATTATTTGAACAGAAATAGAGAAACAAATATAAAGTCAACAGCCATAATGATCCAGTTGTGTTATTTTCCTGCAATATCATCATAGCTGTACCAAAATTCTCTCCTGAAAAGTAAAACTTGCAATATGTTCGTTATGTGTGCCAGTGATAACTAATCACAGCTATACTCATGATATATCAGGTGAACGTTCACTGCTATTTGGTCTCAGAATATTCCATTCTCAATGAGGTCCTCTCCATCTTTCTGATCCGAAATCTAGTTGTTAAAATGAGAGTTGCCCAATGGGAATTTGCTCCATTTCTGATTTCTAATTTCCAAAAATGCTGTCAAGAATTAGGATCCAAAAACACCAATATAAAGACAAATATTATAGGATGACCACAAGGGCTTTCCAAACGGTTACCATATTTTGCACATTACTGCTCAAAGCAACATGTGATAAAACAATTATATACTATTTAACCCAGTAATAAAAAAGAAACACAAACATCTAATTATCATGATCTGGCAGTAATTTATAGTTAAACTCAAAATGTAACTAAAAGGGTCAGTCCACCCAAAATTAATAATTTGTGTTACAGAGGTGGGATCTTTTATGACAGCCACTAGCACATTGTATTTGAAGGGTTTTTCAAAGAGTAAAGCTTCCTACCCCCTAGTTTCAAGCTCTGTTGCCTTCTATTTGTGATCTTGCCCCTCCTGTTACAACAAATGCTTTGGAACCACCACCCACTTTTTCTGCATTCTCATAACATAAGTTAAAAACCCAACTAGAAAAGTAGGAACCACATAAAACTACTACAGCAGATGTGTGGATCTAGGCACTCATATCAAATCTCACTATTAGAGATCTCAGAAGTATAAAAGAAACTTTAAAATTCAACAATATTTTGTCCACCACTGGCTTGAACACATTAGTGGAATACAATCGGAATCACACCTGTGTTTCTTCCCCCCAGTATTCTGGGTTCTTCCAAATATTTGCCAAGTTGTTACATTTACCTGCAATCCTGTATCAAGCAGTATTTATATTTTAATAAGCATGACTTAACTATTCTCCAAGTGTAAGCTACTATATCATTCCCCAACCAACATAATTGGACATATTGCATACCTGTATATTAATGGAACTTACAGTATATTTTTTACAATAATTTTTTTTTTTCAATAATATAGTCAAAGTTATGCAATGGAGA